CAATAATCAACAAAGAATCCCCCCACCCCCCTTTAGTATGGGTTCTTTCCCTTAGTCTTTTACAGTAATGGTCCTATGCAGTATTTCTCTTTTTATGACTGACTAATATCACTCAACATAATGCCCTCAAGGTTCATCCATGTTATGCAGTGGCTTACCGCTTCCTTGTTATTCTTCAGTGTAGCATAATATTCCATTGTGTGTATGTACCACAGTTTGTTTATCTGTCTGTCACTTTTAACGATTTTCAATGGAAGAGCCTTGGTTCAGCCGCTCTGAGGAAGTTGCTTCCGTAAAGATGCAGTTTGGAGACCCGTCGGGCCGTCCCCTCTGTCCAGCAGGGTCACAAGGAGTCAGGATTCATGGGTGCCAATGGTGGTTTTTACTTGTTTTGTGTTTTAAATGGTGTCTTTTAAATTTTTTGTTTGTTTTTAAACAAATTCGCAATTTTATTTATTTACTTTTCAGTAAACCCTGGAGGGTATAGCATCGCATGGATGCCAGTGGCCTTAGCAGCAGGAAGGTTGCTTTGGACCTTGGCACAAACCATGCCACTGTTCCCACTGGTGTGAGTCACCTTTCCCCGGATGACTCTCCTGTCAGTTTTGCTCCGCAGGTTCCAAGATGGCAGAAAGAAACGCTGAAATTCTCACAAGTTCAATGTTCTAGTCTTTTCCTTTATGGCTCCTGGATTTTTGTTTTTGCTTAGGAAACCCTTCCCTATTGCTAAAGACTGTCAACATATTGCCCTCTTTTTTACTTCCCCTTAGTACTTAACATAAGGAGCTCTGGTAGCATGGTGATTGCGAGTCGAGCTACTAACCTCAGGGTCAGCAGTTTGAAACTACCAACTGTTCTGCTGGAGAAAGATGGGCTTTATGTTCCCGTAAAGATTTACCATCTCAGAAGCCCTATGCAGGGTCGCTGTGAATCTTAACCGACTCCGCAGCACATAACTACCACCAGTATTTGCATAGTTTAAAACAATGGGCTCTATGGAGTCCTGGGATGGCGCTGTGGGTTAATACACTGGACGGCAAACTCGGTTTGAACCAAGGTCTGCGGTTCAAGTTCACCAACTGCTTGTCGGAAACCCTGTATAGGGTCGCTGTGAGCTGGAACCAACTCAACAGCATTTAACAACACTGGCACAGTGTATTGTCCCAACCCCACTGACCGAGTGAGCCATGAGTTTCCCTCAGGCTTGGAGGAGATGTTACCTGTGTTGTGTGTTAAGTTCCTGGGTTTC